GTACAGGTACAACCCCAGTACAGGTACAGGTATGGCCCCGGTACAGGTACAGTACAGGTACAGGTACAACCCCAGTACAGGTACAGGTATGGCCCCAGTACAGGTACGGTCACAGTGCAGGTACGGCCCCGGTGCAGGTACAACCCCAGTACAGGTACAACCCCAGTGCAGGTACAGGTACGGCCCCGGTACAGGTACGGTCACGATGAAGGTACAGTACAGTACAGGTACAGGTACAGGTACAGTCACAGAACAGGTACAGGTACGGTCACAGTGCAGGTACGGTCACAGTACAGGTACAGGTATGGCCCCAGTACAGGTACGGTCACAATACAGGTACAGGTACAGTCACAGTGCAGGTACAGGTATGGCCCCAGTAAAGGTACAGGTATGGCCCCAGTACAGGTACAGTCACAATACAGGTACAGGTATGGCCCCAGTACAGGTACAGTCACAATACAGGTACGGCCACGCCCCGGTGCAGGTATGGCCCTGGTGCAGGTACAGCCACACTCTGGTCAGGTACAGCCCCAGTACAGGTATGGCCCCAGTACAGGTATGGCCACACCCAGGTACAGGCACAGCCCCAGTACAGGTATGGCCACGACGAAGTTCTCCTTGGAGATTCCCGAGGTTTCTCCCATCTCCATCTGCCTCCATCCTGTTTTTACCCTTCCCAAGGTTCAGAGGGACGAGAGGAGAACTCTCCTTGGAGATTCCCAAGGTTTCTCCCATCTCCAACTGCCTCCATCCCGTTTTTACCCTTCCCAAGGTTCAGAGGGATGAGAGAACGTTCTCCGTGGAGATTCCCAAGGTTTCTCCCTTCTCCAACTGCCTCCATCCCGTTTTTACCCTTCCCAAGGTTCAGAGGGACGAGAGGAGAACGTTCTCCTTGGAGATTCCCGAGGTTTCTCCCTTCTCCATCTGCCTCCATCCCGTTTTTACCCTTCCCAAGCTTCAGAGGGACGAGAGGAGAACGTTCTCCTTGGAGATTCCCGAGGTTTCTCCCTTCTCCAACTGCCTCCATCCCGTTTTTACCCTTCCCAAGCTTCAGAGGGACGAGAGGAGAACTCTCCTTGGAGATTCCCAAGGTTTCTCCCTTCTCCAACTGCCTCCATCCCGTTTTTACTCTTCCCAAGCTTCAGAGGGATGAGAGGAGATCTCTCCGTGGAGATTCCCAAGGTTTCTCCCTTCTCCATCTGCTTCCATCCTGTTTTTACTCTTCCCAAGCTTCAGAGGGACGAGAGAACATTCTCCTTGGAGATTCTCAAGGTTTCTCCCTTCTCCAACTGCCTCCATCCCGTTTTTACCCTTCCCAAGGTTCAGAGGGATGAGAGGAGATCTCTCCATGGAGATTCCCAAGGTTTCTCCCTTCTCCAACTGCCTCCATCCCGTTTTTACCCTTCCCAAGCTTCAGAGGGACGAGAGGAGAACGTTCTCCTTGGAGATTCTTCCTGACCCTTCCCTGGCCATTCTCTGACCCTGCTGTGCCCTTAACCCCATGGAGATCCCCAAAACTCATCCCGGCTCCCCACCCCTGCTCCCACACTCTTCCCAACGGCAGCTCGGTCAGGAAGGAGCCGAACTCACCCCAAAATTCCTCCCGCTCAGGCTCCAAGCGCGCATCGCCCACCGCATCCAAGAGCTGGAGAACCTGCCCGGCTCGCTGGCCGGAGACCTGCGGACCAAAGCCACCATCGAGCTCAAGGCCCTGCGCCTGCTCAACTTCCAGCGCCAGGTGAGCGCCGGCAGCGGGGCTCCGGCGGATTTGGGGTGACTCCGGGGGATTTTGGGAATTTGGGAGCCTCGGTTTCCCCTCTCAGAGAGCGTAGGGTCGCCTTCTTTAGGATATTTATTGTCCCAGGCACGTTCTTCTCTCAAGGATTGTTCATAGGGCAGCACAGGGGGAAGAGAGACAAAACAATCAAACAATTTTTATTTCTACTCCTTGTTTTTCCCACGGGGAATGTGTTTGGGGAATTGTTTCCCTGGGGTGATGCTTGGTTGGATTCTGGTGAGGATCGTTGGAGCTGCTGGACAATCCAACCCACCTGGGGCTGGACTCTGAGCTGGTCACCAGTTGTGTTAAAATTAGATATGGTAGTTAGAACAATCAATTTGTAGCGTTTATATCTTATTTAAATAATTTATTAATGTATTTTAGCACAGTTACAATACAGAAATCATTCAGCTTTCTGACCCAGAGTCAGACATCACCATTCTTCCCCCGGCCTCACCTGCACTCACAATAATTTATTTTTCTCTCACCCGTAACATTTTCTCTCTGACTCGTTGAGCTCTCAGGTTGGCTGTGGGATTTTCTCTGCCCTCGGGCTGGTGTTTACGTTTTATACCAAAAACTGCATTTATTAAATTTACAGTAACGCCCCAATATTTGTAATTTATGTCAGACGTTGTGTCTCTACCTTGAACCGGTAGAGAAGTGTCACCAGAGGGACGTCCAGGAACGTGGTGGTGGCTCAGGGATTTTGGGGAACCATTTGGACGTCCAGGAGCTCCCTGGTGGCTCAGGGGGACTTTTGGGGACCCAGAGGAACGTCCAGGCCCACCGTGGTGGCTCAGGGGAGTTTTTGGTGGCTCAGGGGGATTTTTGGTGGCTCAGGGGAGTTTTTGGGGAGCCATTTGAACATCCAGGAGCTCCGTGGTGGCTCAGGGGCATTTTTGGTGGCTCAGGGGAGTTTTTGGTGGCTCAGGGGAATTTTTGGTGGCTCAGGGGAGTTTTGGGGAGCCATTTGAACATCCAGGAGGTCCGTGGTGGCTCAGGGGGATTTTTGGTGGCTCAGGGGAGTTTTGGGGACCCGGAGGGACGTCCAGGCCCACCGTGGTGGCTCAGGGGGACTTTTGGGGACCCAGAGGAACATCCAGGAGCTCCGTGGTGGCTCAGGGGGTCTTTTGGGGACTCAGAGGAACATCCAGGCCCACCGTGGTGGCTCAGGGGGATTTTTGGTGGCTCAGGGAGACTTTTGGGGACCCGGAGGAACATCCAGGCCCACCGTGGTGGCTCAGGGGGATTTTTGGTGGCTCAGGGGAGTTTTTGGGGAGCCATTTGGACGTCCAGGCCCACCGTGGTGGCTCAGGGGGACTTTTGGGGACCCAGAGGAACATCCAGGCCCACCGTGATGGCTCAGGGGGACTTTTGGGGACCCAGAGGAACATCCAGGCCCACCGTGGTGGCTAAGGGGGACTTTTGGGGACCCAGAGGAACATCCAGGCCCACCGTGGTGGCTAAGGGGGACTTTTGGGGACCCATTTGGACGTCCAGGCCCACCGTGGTGGCTCAGGGGAGTTTTTGGTGGCTCAGGGGGATTTTTGGTGGCTCAGGGGATTTTTGGGGACCCGGAGGAACATCCAGGCCCACCGTGGTGGCTCAGGGGCATTTTTGGTGGCTCAGGGGAGTTTTGGGGAGCCATTTGAACATCCAGGCCCACCGTGGTGGCTCAGGGGATTTTTGGTGGCTCAGGGGCATTTTTGGGGACCCGGAGGGACATCCAGGCCCACCGTGGTGGCTCAGGGGGATTTTTGGTGGCTCAGGGGAGTTTTTGGTGGCTCAGGGGGACTTTTGGGGACCCATTTGGACGTCCAGGCCCACCGTGGTGGCTCAGGGGGACTTTTGGGGACCCAGAGGAACATCCAGGCCCACCGTGGTGGCTCAGGGGGATTTTTGGGGACCCAGAGGGACATCCAGGCCCACCGTGGTGGCTCAGGGGGACTTTTGGGGACCCAGAGGAACATCCAGGCCCACCGTGGTGGCTCAGGGGCATTTTTGGGCGCAGCTGCGGCAGGAGGTGGTGGTGTGCATGCGGCGGGACACGGCGCTGGAGACGGCGCTCAACGCCAAGGCCTACAAGCGCAGCAAGCGGCAGTCGCTGCGCGAGGCCCGGATCACCGAGAAGCTCGAGAAGCAGCAGAAGATCGAGCAGGAGAGGAAGCGCCGGCAGAAGCACCAGGTGGGGAAGAATTCCAGCGTGGGACGTTCCCGCGGGTGCTGGGGGGGTTTTGGGGAGCCGCCTGGGTTTTTTTGGGGTTCGGGGGAGGTTGGCTCTGGGTGATGGTGGTCAAAGGTTCGGTGGTGGCTGTTGGGAGCACTCAGTGGCCCCGATGGCTGCTGGGGATGTACAATGGCTGCTGGGACCCTCTGGTGGTCATTGGGACCCTCTGATGGTCATTGGGACCCTCTGATGGTCATTGGGACCCTCTGATGGTCATTGGGACCCTCTGATGGTCATTGGGACCCTCTGATGGTCATTGGAACCCTCTGATGGTCATTGGGACCCTCTGATGGTCATTGGGACCCTCTGATGGTCATTGGGACCCTCTGATGGTCATTGGAACCCTCTGGTGGTCATTGGGACCCTCTGATGGTCATTGGAACCCTCTGGTGGTCATTGGGACCCTCTGATGGTCATTGGGACCCTCTGCTGGTCATTGGGACCCTCTGCTGGTCATTGGAACCCTCTGCTGACCACTGGGACCTTTTACTGACCACTGGGACCACATGATGGCTGCTGAGACCTTCTGCTG